TCAAAAAAGATATGTACCAAACATAATGTAATTATAATAAGTATAATTTATTTTATTATTTTTGCTGCATTTTGGTCATTTTATCTCGTTCCAGTAGGCAATCTGAAATTCATATCAGGTACTTGTTCTTCTACTCAATCAGCATCGCTTACTTATTTTTCTAATTACCTTCATTTCCCTCTGAGAGCTATACTAGTTTGTCTTATTCCAGTAATACTTATGGTTTTAGCAAATGCACGTATGATAATGAATATTCGTCAATCAAGAAGACGTGTGACAAATGGTACAACAGTACCCTCATCAGATATAAATATTCCAGTGCCTAATATCTCAAGTTCTACAGGAACACATACTCGTCGAATGTCGGCACTTGATCGAATGTTATTCTATATGATGTTAGCTAATGCAATTACATTTATTACAACACAAGTTCCATTTCATCTTTTTCTCTGTGTAAGAGGTAGTGTGAAAGGATTAAATTCAAATACTTCAACATTTATACGTGCAGTACTTTTGATTTGGTCAAGCGTCTATTTTGGTATTGCATTTTATTTTTATTGTTTAGCATCACCATTATTTCGCCAAAAGTTTATTAAAATGCTGAAGAGAGCGATTTTTCTTCAAGAAATAACTCAAACAATAACACATCAAACAAAAGTCAATCGATGAACAGAAACTGAATTCTTACACTTCTAATATATGTTGTCGAATAGCGTTAACCCTTAGAAATATTTGTGATCTTTCCTTTTATGAATAAAATATTTACAACAAGTTCCTTTAAAATAATTTGAACTTGAGTAATATGTCAAATAATACTCTAGGTAAGACATGATGTATAACAAAAGCTATTTTGTAACATGGATTTTTATTGTTCTATATATTTGATGTTTTTGTTTCAATTATTCCAAGATGAATGTAGTCAAGTATTTGTATTGAAAAGAAGAATCTTTTAAGGCTGTGTCTCGTACAAGAATTTTCACACTTATCAAACTCTGCCAAAACATCTAAATATCGAGAAAAAATATGAACTAACAGTTTAAAATAGTCTTTTTCCGAAAAATACACATACATCGTGCATAATATCGTGATATATTAAGTAATTAGAATATATTTTCATGCGTGTTATAACACAATTATTCTTCATTATTCTACTTTTGACAAAAGCGACATCGGTAACGTCATATGTGTAATTATATAATTACTTTAATACTTCTTTAAAAAGCTACTGTTTTCTTTTTTTCTTCTTTCTTATACTATTCATCAATGAACATGTCCTCTACTCCAACGATTTCTAACTTCACAACACAGAATACATCAATAGTGGTTACAACTTCACCCTTACAACTTGGCATTTTGATTACCACAGTTAGTGCATGTTTTGCGTAAATAAATTTAGCTTCATACTTCATTTTTTTCATTGAATACTTTTATTTTTTATAAATAGCTATGGACTTGGTTTTGTTGGTAATGTTTTATCATTAATAGTATTTTGCACTCAAGATGAATTTCGAAAAATCTCAACTGGTCTTTTATTTATGTTAATAACAATATCAAACTTTATTCATTTATGGACATTAGCTTCAGATTATCTAACTGTGTACAATTATGCTCTGTACCCAAATAATTTTATGCAGTGTCGATTCACATATTATATACAGAATATTAGTCGTGCATTGAGTACGTATTGGATGGTTACGGTTGCACTTGATCGTTTAATTCGTACTGAATATCCAATGCGGTCAAAAAAGATATGTACTAAACATAATGTAATTATAATAAGTATAATTTATTTTATTATTTTTGCTGCATTTTGGTCATTTTATCTCATTCCAGTAACCAATCTAATTTTCATATCAGGTTCCTGTTCTTATGGTCAATCAGCATCGCTTGCTTATTTTGTTAATAATCTACATTATCCTCTACGAGCTGCACTTGTTTGTTTTATTCCAGTAATACTTATGGTTTTAGCAAATGCACGTATGATAATGAATATTCGTCAATCAAGAAGACGTGTGACAAACGGTACAACAGTACCTTCATCAGATATGAATGTTCCAGTGCCTAATATCTCAAGTTCTACAGGAACACATACTCGTCGAATGTCGGCACTTGATCGAATGTTATTTTATATGATGTTAGCCAATGCAATTACATTTATTACAACACAAGTTCCATTTCATCTTTTTATGTGTATACGAAATAATCTGACAGGATTAGATTCGAATACTTTATCATTTATACGTGCAGTACTTTTAATTTGGTCAAGTCTTTATTTTGGTATTGCATTTTACTTTTATTGTTTAGCAGCACCATTGTTTCGGCAAAAATTTACTAAGATGTTGAAGAAAGCTATTTTTCTTCAAGGAATAACTCAATCAACAACACATCGAAGAAAAGTCAATTGATGAACAGAAACTAAATTTTTACAATTCTAATATATGTTGTCTAAAATCGTTAACCTGTAGAATTATTTGTAATCTTTCCTTTAATGTATTGAAAAAAATTTTTAAGAAACTTATCGTCTGTTAAACTTATAGACGGAAGGAATAAATTTTACCACAAGGCTATCATTGTAATTCTTCTTCAATTAATTTTTTTTATAAATGAAATTTTCATAATAAATTCGTTCAAAATACGTTGAACTTGAACGACATTTCAAATAATACTATAGTTCAAACATGACTTACAATAAAAGTTATTTTGTAATGTAGATTTCTATTATTCTGAGATAAATGTATTCAATCATTTGTATATAAAAGAAGAATCTATTGAAGCTGTGTCTCTTATCAAACTCTGCCAAAACATCTAAATATCGAACTAATGTCAACTAGCAATTTAGAATAATTTTTTATAGAAGAATAAACATACATGGTGTGTAATCATGTATTATATTAAGTAATTAGAATATATTTTCATCCGTGTTAAAACACAATTATTCTTCATTACTCTACTTTTCATAAATATCACATATCGATAACGTCATATGTATAATTATATGATTACTTTAATACTTCTTTAAAAAGCTACTGTTTTTTTTTATTTCTTCTTTTTTATACTATTCATCCATGAGCATGACATCTGATCCAATAACTTCAAATTTTACAACAGATGATACACCAGTAGTGGTTACAACTTCATCATTACAACTTGGTATCTGGATTACAACAGGTTGCGCATGCTTCGCGTAAATAAATTTAGCTTCATATTTCATTTTTTTATTCAATTAATTTCTTTTTATTGAATAGTTATGGACTTGGTTTTGTTGGTAATGTTTTATCGTTAATAATATTTTGCACACAAGATGAATTTCGAAAAATTTCAACAGGACTTTTATTTATATTAATAACAATATCAAATTTTATTCATTTATGGACATTAGCTTCGGATTATCTCACTCTATACAATATCGCTATGTATTCAAATATGCTTATGCAATGTCGATATTCATATTATATACAAAATATCAGTCGTGCAATGAGTACGTATTGGATGGTTACTGTCGCACTTGATCGTTTGGTTCGTACCGAATATCCAATGCGTTCAAAAAAGATATGTACCAAGCAAAACGTAATTATAATAAGTATAATTTATTTTATTATTTTTGCTGCATTTTGGTCATTTTATCTCGTACCAGTAAGCAATCTAAGTTTCATAGCAGGCACTTGTGCTTCTATTCAATCACCAGCGCTTACTTATTTTTCGAATAATATTCATTTACCTCTGCGAGCTGTACTCGTTTGTCTTATTCCAGTAATACTAATGGTTTTGGCAAATGCACGTATGATAATGAATGTTCGTCAGTCAAGAAGACGTGTGACAGATGGTACAACAATACCTTCATCAGATATAAATATTCCAGTGGCTAGTATATCAAATTCTTCACGAAAACAGTCTTATCGAATGTCGGCACTTGATCGAATGTTGTTTTATATGATGTTAGCCAATGCAATTACATTTATTACAACACAAGTTCCATATCATCTTTTTATATGCGTACGAAATAATGTGCCTGGATTACCCTCAAATACTTCATCATTTATACGTGCAGTACTTTTGATTTGGTCAAGTCTTTATTTTGGCATTGCATTTTACTTTTATTGCTTAGCATCACCATTATTTCGCCAAAAGTTTATTAAAATGCTGAAGAAAGCTATTTGTCTTCATGGAATAACTCACTCAACAGCACATAGGTCAAGAATCCATTGATGAATAGAACTAAATCCTTACAATTATTTTAATATATGTTGTCGAATAGTGTTAACCTGTAGAATTATTTGTAATCTTTCCTTTTATGTATTGAAGAATAATTTTTTTCCAATAAACTTGATTAAACAGATTCATTGTTTTTCGAATAACAGTAAAAGGACTTCAAGATTATTCAGTATTTTCTGGGGATACTCAGTCTGCACAAGAATTTTTTTTCTCATATATTACAGTAGCAGGACAATAAAAAAGAGACTGGCACTTTCGGTCAGATTAGGCTCCCCCTACTTAATTACCCAACTGTTATTAATCAACAATATGACGTATGAAGTTTTTTAAGAAACAACTGATGAAGTTCAACATGCGTCATAACAAAATAATTAATGATCTGAGAAAAAGTTGTTATCTAAGTTGTTGATAAAGATTTGCGCACATTTTATTCTAGTATACCTACGTCAATGTAATATATAATATAAAAAAATCACTTCCGATTTTGAAGTAAATTTAATCTTATTGCGATCTTTTTTATATGATCTATAACAGCTTGTAATTATACATAATTTAGATGTTTGTTCACATTTTATAATAATAATGTTTTTTTGCGTCATTGAAAAAAACATGCCAAGGTCATTTCTATAATAAATAGAGAAAATAGTTCAGAAAAACAACTAGAAATTAATACTCAACAATAATAATTCCCGAGAAAAATATGATAAAACTTTGTCATCGTCATCATTTCTGTCCGAATTCATATACCAAAAATGTAGATAGTAATAATGAGTCAATAATTTCGATAATCTTTTTACAAAATAATGATGATATTAAACAATATACTTCAAAACATAACTGATTTCTTCAGTTGTATCTAGTCATGTTTTCATATCTTTAAACTCTTATAATAGTTTTTAGTGATAACTACCTTATAAGTCAATATGTTGTTGCTTGCTTAAATATAAGTATGAAATGAAATTCGGAATGCAAGCATCAAAAAGAAAAGAAACTAAATAACTATTGAAGTCTGAAGACAAGCTTTTAGATGCTTATGTGAAATGTATAAAACGACTAGAAACTAAAAAAAATAATAGAACATTAATTATCAATCACAAAATATTTCTACATATACAGAATATTCTTAAATTAATCGTAAATATGAAGGAATTAAAAATATGTGAAATAATATCTACTCATGTCATGTTCGGAATAGTTTTTATATTATATGATGTAATTTTCTTCAATATAATAGATAAAATAATCAATGGATGGTATATCACCTATTGACTTGCGGTTGTTTTTTTTTTACGAAATTGAAAACTATTTATAAGTATGATTTTTATTGTCCTCTATTAAGAAAGTACATTTTCATATGATAGTCTCTAAAGCAATCAAGAATACATGAAGAGAATGGATTTTCTTAGGGCATACTAGTATAAGAGATAGTGTGGATTGAGATGCAGAACGAAAAGAAATATGTACTAGCATCGAATGGAAAGTAAAGAAGGAAAGAATGTACTTGTATGATACTAGCCAGTAAATGTTACAAAGATGTTTGACATACATAAAAAATGTACTAGAGATACATTTGTTTCGTCACTACATTATGACGTATTCATATGTCACCAAGAATCTAAGGATAAAAGATAATATTTGTGTTCGATATCATATAGTTAAAATAATGAAGCAAATATTTAATAATAGTTTAATACAAACACAATTTTTGAAAACCTGAATTAGATTTTAGAAAAAAATATGTGCTTCTATTTTGTATGAGAAAACAACAGATAATATATAATCATTCGTTATTTTCGTGATAACTGTAAAGTTTTGGGTTGTATTCTGTCAAATTTTAGAAACTGACTTATTGTTATCCTTTCATCGAACTTAAAAAGGATGACTTTTGTCTGTTATTTAATATAAAACATCAATGTCGATTAAATACCAGTGTTTCTTGAGTCCTCATAGTCGAGGATTAATATAATATTTTATTTCTTGTTACATTTTATCATTATTTTTTTAATGATTGATCAATCATTTTATTTGAGTAATTGTCTGAAATAATCTCGCAATATATTTAAATATTTGATTTGTTCGACATAATTGTCTTACTGTAGATAAATCGGTGCACAGGAAGATTAGATGGTAATACTACATTCGATCGTTTACTCCATAGAATTGCAGAACCTGGCCAGCAATATTATATATATATTAGAAATGGATCACAATAAAAATGATCATAGATTGATATAAATCAGGTGAAATACACTTTTGTAATCACACCTGTTTTCCTACACTTAGTAAAATACCACTGATTCTAAAGATTACAGACATTTTATTCTTCATTAACATTACAGTATAAATCAAGTTTAGAAGCAAAATAGCGTCTGTATATTATTTCAGTGTTCTATTTATTAGCATATTTATCAAAACCTGACATTTACTTAAGAAAGTGTCTACAAACACTAGACATAAGTATATTTTATGATTTACATGTTTTACAGACAATAATCATTTGCTTGTCTGGATATGCAAATCCTTTATGTTATTGAAATTTGTTATATTTTATATGTAAATATAAAGAACCTTGGTCGTAAAATATTTAAAACTAGGAAAGAAAGATGAACAAAACAATTATATGAACAAATCATAGTTATATTCTATTATTTTAATACATAATAAATTCTCTTATGTGTTTTATCTATCAATAATTTGAAAAATATTTTTTTCGTTTTACATCTTAATTTTTATATACTCTTTCAAGTTGAATGGATACATGTCGTTCTTTTATAGACGAAAAAAAATATTACTTTTTTTTCTCTTCATTTCAGAATTGAATCATATTATTAAGAAATAAAAGAAAAAAATATCAATTTGCTTATTTCTCTCATTTAATCATTACTTGTCGAAGTAGAAATCTATAAAGTATAAAATACCAAGTGTGATTATATAAAGAAGTGAAAATAAATTCTATTTGAGTTTTTATATTTACAAGTGTAGCAATGTTAAAGAAAATCTACTTATTAAATATTATTTTTTTATGCTTTGTGTGTTATGCACAAAGTCAAAGCTCGAGTTTATCGGCAAGTAGTTCATTTACTACAATAACATCAACAACAATGACTGAAACAAATAATATTCTAACAAGTTCAATATTATCAGTAACCTCAGATGCAGTTCAATCTTCTACAATAAATTCAAATAATATGACTTCATCGATGACTTATGCATCTTCTTTAGTAACTACGATGTCCATCGGTAATAGTTCAATAATCTTAGTCATATATAAAATACACTTATTTTATAGTAACAAATATCAGTATAACTTACATATATATCGTCCAAAGTAATTATTCTTTACAATTAGGAATTATTAACGATACCAATGTTAAAATAAATATATCAGACTTCGTATGTAATATAAATGTTTTAGTATTATACATTTTTGCATTTTTGAATAGGTGGTGAATTCATTCAACTTATCAAATTTTAATATTATAGTAACAAATATTCAAATCTTATCTAAAACGAAGTATAATATAATATATTTTTTCGAAAAAATTCTTTTTTTTTATTATCTAATAGAACTATTTCATATGTGAATCAATATAATATGTTAGTTAATATTTTATTTACAAGTACACGAAATGATTGCAATGTAACTTGTATATACAATTCACAGATGATACAAACAAATAATTTTTCTTTACCATCAACTAATGGTAGTCTGGTAGATGTATATTCTGATTCAGGGTCATTATTAGAAAATGGTATATTCCATTAATTATTGTTTGATTATCAAATAATTTATATTGAACAGTTTTAGATACAACATCTGTAATAGTTTTGGATACAACAACTGTAAAAATTTCAACTGGTATAGTTATTATTTTATGTATTCATAAAAATACATTTGTAAATTTCTTCTTTGTACAGATAAATCCACATTAGGACTATCAGCAAAATTAGGTATGGGTTTGGGTATATCGATAATTGGTGTTTTAATTATTATGGAAATAATTTATCTTAGTTGGAAATATGGATTATCTGGTAGATCACGTCGAGAACAATACGGATTGTCTAGTACAGAGTAATAACATTGAAAAATAATTTCGATATTGTTTTATTTTTAAGTGAATAATAATACTCGGTTTTTTTGTGATGAAAATAAAGAAATTTGTATTTATATCATAGTAGTTTAATATTGATAATCAATGCGTATTGTATAAAAAAATACAGTCAAGAATGTCCTCACAGAAATGTCCTTTCACTAAAAAGAAGTCGACCATATTAGTTTAAAATATTGATTTTGAGGTTATGAGTGGATGTGGGTGTCGATGACGGTATTATTTTGATTCCACACCCACATCCACCACCCATGTTCAAAACATCATAAGCACACAAAAGTAATAATTTAGTTCAAAGGATATTTTTTGTAGATGCAAAAAAGTTTTCAGAGGACATTTTCAAAAGGACGTTCTTGACTGTCACCGTATAAAAGTACAAAAAACTTATCATTGTCTGTTTGTCTATACCCTTGATTTTTTTTTTTGAAATATATCAGATGTTTTTACGACTTTTATTTTTAAGAAGACTCTTTACTACTGATTATAAAAAATGAATAGTCTCGTTTAATATTATCTTCAAAAAGAAACGTTTTAAGAAACCATAATTGATTGTACAGGCTTATATTCATTACAATGATATGTTCGTTTACCAAATAAACACCAATCAGCATAACCTTTTATATTATTCGTTTTACATGATTCTATTGTACATTCCGCACATGATAGCCTAAATTGAGTTTTTCTTTATATACAATACATTAAAAATAATAAAATATTTACGGATAGAATTTGTTAATTAGTTTATTCTTACAAAAACAATTGCATTGAACAGCGATAGTTAGATTTATACAGAGAATTAAAATGAGAAACGAACGAAAGAGATTAAACATAATTTTATTATATAAATTATCTGTGGCGCTTAATAAAATTATATTTTCATATAAGGAAAGTGTTTATTCAATAGTTAATGATCAGAATATATGTCAAACATTTCTTTTTCATCAATTGTATTATAATAAATATGAAATACTCAAAAACAGAATAAATAAAAATTAATCTAAAAATAACTCTTAAGCAATAAAGAATGAAATTCTTCAATGTTCTCGCATACTTATCTTGTTAAAATTCAAACATACTTATAAGGTATCAATACACATATGGTGGATTTCATTTTAAAAATTTATTCAAATAAAAATCACATGTACATATATATATTTGATGTAAGTTACAATGTTAATTCAGTAGTACATTTTAGCCCAAAAGAAAAGTCATACTAGAGCAGTAATGAAACAAGTTGTACAGCCAAAGGGAGTCGATTATAAAATTTTCAAGTGCTTATATGAAATTTGAAAAATATACCATAGACCAATCGATATATAATTAGATTTATTTTTTGCAATAAGAGAAAAAAAATATTCCGGAATAATTATTTGAAAATTTAATTCACAATAAAGAAAAAAAATATTCTATCTGACAAAATTCACCAGTATTTTATTATTCATCTTTTTCATAACAAAAAATAACATCTTCATCTGTTCCAAATGCTTTTCGTGCTAAATCAAAATTTTCTTTCGTTGCTGTACAAAATCCATCTTTTTTAGCTGGATCAACATAACGAATAAATTCATTCGTTTCATTTTCTATATAACCAATAACAAGAACATAATGACCTTGATATGATGAAGATATTGTTGGAACTAATGCATCAAGTATTCGATCAAAAGTTGTTTTTTTACATGCACAACATTCAGTTTTATTAGCATCAACTAAAACTAAACAAGGTGTTCGATATTCAATTAAATGTCTTTTTATTTCCAACCATTCAACTGAACCAAGTTTAACATTTGATGCTTCATTTGCAAATAATTTATTAACTCGTTCACGATCTTTATCAATTAAATTTTCATAATAAGGTACATTATCATATGTTGATGAACAGCCTATTGTTATTGTATGTAAAATAGCTTTTATACTTGATTGATGAAGTAGATGTAATAAATCTATAGTCCATGTACTTTTATTACATTCATAAGTACGTAATAAATGATTGAATGTTGATAAATCAAGATGATAATAATCAATTATCATTTGTAAACATGTTATACCACAATCCCAATTGGAATTTTGTTGAAGATGTTTTACAGGTAAGATAAAAGACATTATCTGAAGGAAAAGAAAAGATATTTAAGATTAATATATATAATTGTATATCTGCACTTTTCATCAACAAACATCCGTACTGCTTTACGTCGCTAGGTGCTTCCATCATATGTCAATATTCAGACAAACATACTGTGCACAGTAATACGAGGAAAAAAAGAAGAGAAGAAAAAAGAAAACTGAGAACACGATATATATATGTGATGAGAAACAAATCAAAATTTCAAAGTAACAACCAACGATAGCAGAAAAAAGAGAGAGAGAAGAATAAAAAAAGGAGAAATTTGATTCAACCAAACAACATCTCTGCATAACTCAGACCAATACTACATTTGAATCGTACAAAATACTAAGATTTTACGTTAATGGCTGATCGTCGTTTACCAAATCAGACTGAATCTCGTGGTGTTAATACGACAAAAACAGTACCAATAATAAATGTCGTACGTGATGATATTCAAACATCAGCTATAGCAGCAACAGCTGCAGCAACAACAATACCTGAACGTCGTCAATCAGTATTTCGACGTTTATCAATGTCTATGGGTAGTCGAAAATCATCAATGTTACCACCATCTAATCAACTTCGACCAAATACATTTCGTATGGAACCCGATAAAGAATATCGTTTTCGTCCTTATCGTGTTCAACCGAAAGTATTAGAAGTCTTAATCGATAGACTAAAAGATAAAACATATAATCCATTAACTGTAAATGAACTTGTGAAAGAAATTACGCGAAGTGTTCATCAATTAATGAAAAATTTTCAAATGCCACGTTATAAAATTATTGTTCAAACTGTTATTGGACAAAAATTTGGACAACTTTTACGTATTGCATCAAGATCTTTATGGGATCCGAAGACTGATAATATGATATCAGTAAATTATGAAACTCAAGATATGGTTGCTGTTGTTACTGTTTATGCTGTATATCTTGAATAGAATGAATGGAATTGATTGACAGATACATACAAAAAATTTATTCTATGGCTTGTGTATTTAACCATTCAGAAATAAATATATAATGAGGTCGCTCATCGTTCTGATTAAAATTGCTTTTTTCTTTCATTTATTGTGAAATAAATATTAGCTTTATGAATTTTAATAAAATTACTCAAATTGTTTTCTTTTTGATTAGTTTATGTGTTTACTTTCGATAATGAATTTCATGTTTTTCTAGTATAACAAAATGTTATAGATGGTTGGTAACATCAAAGATATAATCAAATATGTCATAGACAAACGAACTTCAACTTATTGTTCTCGCTAACCAATTATAAGCGAAAATGACTGACAGGAAATATTATCTATAATTGACAAGTCCAAAGTTTTATCTCCAACGTAGATTATGAAGACAGTTGTGTAGAAAGAAGCAAACAGATATTGATAAATATTATTATACAACAGTTAGTTTTTACATAGTCGCAAAACAATGCAATTCTTAACTTCAATAAGTATTATTCTTGTATTATGTATGATGATGATGGTTTCTGTTAATAGCTACGGGTAAATTATATTTAAATTAAATTTATTTTATAAGTCTTCTTTTATTTTTAGAGAAGGTAGTTGTATGTGTCATAGTTCATATCAATGGACTCGAGATTGTTGTGGTCCTACTGGTGGATATTTTATTCATCGTAAATGTTACAATACATTCGGTTTATCATTCATACAATGTTGTCGATATGCTGGATTACGTGGAGCTTGCATCGCTTGAATACGAAATAGTTTTTTCATAATTATTCGTATTTATCTCTTTGATTCATCATACGAATTAAAATAAAAATCTTAAAATCATTCTCTTTTCTTTGTATAACCTATCATGATAAATATAATCAGTCTTCTTTCAGAATATATACACATTAGATAATATTGTACTATATCAAGGTGAAGAAGATATGTGTAAAAAACGTATCTCGTAATGATATCAATTTTCTTACGTTCATATATGAAACAAGTGGTTATGACAGATGCATTTTAATAGATTCACTCGTTCTTTGTTCGACAAAAGAAAAATAAACTTATTCAAAAGAAAGATATTCCTCAGATAATGTCACCATCTAATGTATATGTACAGACATACAAATCGAGGTATCGAACATATATCCTATTTATTTATCACACCGAATACAATGAAGATTTTGTAAAATTATGACTGATATCGTTCACTTTTGCTTTGTTCTTAGCTGTCGACTATTTATGTCTTTGTTATCACAAGTATAAATACACATGCAAATAGTCACATATTTATCTTGAATTTCTAATCTATATCGAATATATTCAAAACTACTTATCTTCATATTTTAAAAATGCAATCAAAACTTATGAAATTCATCGCATTAATTTTTGTTGGTCTTGTCTTATTAACAATGACAGCTTCTGTTCAAGGGTATTTATCTATATAGGAATTTATATTGTATATAAAATACCATTTTTGATTATTTTTATAGAGAACGTATTCGTTGTGAGTGTTCTGGAAACGTCGAACACACTGGTCGTTGTTGTAGTGCAAGCAACGGTGTTATGGAACATGGTCGATGTTTTTACGAACGCGATAATCTATTTCTCGGATGCTGTCAAAGAGAACACCGTCAAGGCGTTTGCACCTAATTGTACACTTCAAGTAGAGACTAACTAATTTTCTTCTTTTTAATAATGTATCAAATACTTTTTAATGTACTATAAAAATTTTAAATAAAATTCTTTAAAATAACAAAACATGATCTAGTTAAAAAATATAAATAATACAATATATCAGCTCTCGATATTAAGCAATATGTTTCTCTCTCTCTTTTCGTATTAAGGTTTATTGAGGAGAAAATAAATAATTTCTTAAGAAGAAAATGATCATCCTTCTTCGATCATATATAATGATAAAATTATTTTCTACTTTCTTACTTTTATTTACTACATGAACTAAATAAACAGAAGCATTTGTTTAATAAACTAAAGTAACACGACGTCATATACTAGAAAATATCACTAATAAAAGCTAATTTAGTTAAGTGAAATTTCTAAATCAAGATGGATATTTTCTAACTAGCATAATATTAAATTTTTTGTAAAAGTAATAATTTATTAAGTTTTCGTTTTCCTAGAGCTTAGTTGTATACGTAATAAGTCATATCAATGCACTCGAGATTGTCGTGGTTCTACGGGTGGATATTTTATTAATCGTAGATGTTACAATACATTCGGTTTATCATTCATACAATGTTGTCGATATGCTGGATTACGTGAAGCTTATGTCGCTTAAGGGGACTCACTCCTTGCCTGCGAAACTTTTTCAAAATGTTTTTTCATGTATAGGTACGGATAGCTTCTATATGCTGACCTTATTTGAAAAACCGAAAGTCTACTTTTTTATAATATTGAACTATGTGAAGGTGAATAAGATATATGTAAGAAAACGTATCTCGTAATGATACCAGTTTTCTTAAGTTCGTATATGAAACAAGTAGTTACAACGGGTACATTTTAATAGATTCACTCGCCCTTTTCTACACTCAACAAAAGAAAAATAAACTTCTTTGAAAGAAAGATATTCCTTTGATAATGTCATCATCTAATGTATATGTACAGATATACAAATCGAGGTATCGAATAGAATAGATGATTTTGTGGAATTACGAATGATATCTTTCACTCTTGCTTTGTTCTTAGCTGTCGACTATTTATTTCTTTGTTATCAGAATATAAATACGAATGCAAATAGTCACATATTTATCTTGAATTTCAAATATATATCGAATATATTCAAAACTACTTATCTTCATATTTTGAAAATGCAATCAAAACTTATGAAATTCATCGCATTGATCTTTGTTGGTCTTGTCTTATTAACAATGACAGCTTCTGTTGAAGGGTATTTATCTATATAGAAATTTAGATTGTATATATAAAAACACTTTTCTGATTATTTTTCTAGTCAACGTATCAGTTGTGAGTGTTCTGGACACATTAGACACACCGAGCGTTGTTGTCGTAGAAGCGACGGATTTATGAAACATGGCCGATGTTCTCACCAACGCGATCGTCGATTTCTCAGATGTTGCGAAGAGGAAAATCGTAGAGGCGTTTGCTCCACCTAATTGTACACTTCAAGTAGAGACTAACTAATTTTCTTCTTTTTAATAATGTATCAAATATTTTTCAATGTGCTATAAAAATTTCAAATAAAATTCTTTAAGATAACAAAAAATGTTCTAGTTAAACAATATAAATAATAGAATATATTAGTTTTTAATATTGTACTATGTCAAGGTGAAGAAGATATGTGTAAGAAAAAGCATCTCGTAATGGTATCAATTTTCTTATATTCATATATGAAACAAGTGATTATGACAGACACATTTTAATAGATTCACTCGTTCTTTGTTCGACAAAAGAAAAATAAACTTCTTTAAAAGAGAGAGATTCCTCCGATGATGTCATCATTTAATGTATATGTACAGATATACAAATCGAGGTATCGAATAGAATAGATGATTTTATGAAATTGCGACTGATATCGTTTACTTTTGCTTTGTTCTTAGCTGTCGACTATTTATGTCTTTGTTATCACAAATATAAATACGAATGCAAATAATCACATATTTATCTTGGATTTCTAATCTATATCGAATATATATTCAAAACTACTTATCTTAATATTTTAAAAATGCAATCAAAACTTATGAAATTCATCGCATTAATTTTTGTTGGTCTTGTCTTATTAACAATGACAGCTTCTGTTCAAGGGTATTTATCTATATAGGAATTTATATTGTATATAAAATTACATTTTTGATTATTTTTATAGTGAACGTATTCGTTGTGAGTGTTCTGGAAACCTCGCACACACTGGACGTTGTTGTCGTAGAAGCGGAGGAATTATGGAACGTGGCCGATGTTTTCATGAACGCGATGCTCGATTTCTCAGATGCTGTGAAGAAGACCGTCGTAGAGGCATGTGCTTCGCCTAATTGTTCACGTCAAAGAGAGACTAACTAATTTTCTTCTTTTTAATGTATTATAAAAATTTTAAAATTCCAAATAAAATTCGTTAAAATAACAAAAAATGATTTAGTTAAACAATATGTTTCTCTCTCTCTTTTCGTATTAAGTTTTATCGAGTAGAAAAGAAATAAATTCTTCAGATGAAAACGATCATCCTTCTTCGATCATACATAATGGTAAAGTTATTTTCTACTTTCTTACTTGTGTTTACTATATGAACTGAATAAATAGAAACATTTCTTCAATAAAATAAAGTAACATGACATCATATGCTAGAAAATAATACCAATAGAACTATCTAAAAGCAGTTAGTTTAAGGATTTAATAAGTTTTAATGCAGAAAAAAAAAATTCTGTAACGGAAGGGTTAAATTATCAGAATATCAATATGATAATATTGAATAAATCTAATGTGTTTTGTATATATCATCGATAGATAAAATATATAGTGCCGAACAAAACAGGGTTATGTCCGTTAAGTACAATAATGATGAATTTTAAACGATTTTCACACGTCTATTATATGAATATGTTAATAGAATCTATGTGGCTATTACTGTCAAACATTCAAGATTTTTTACAATGCTAATTTTATATTGGTATGCTTACAATATAAAAATATTACAGGCAATTGTTAATACTATGTTATTATTGATTTAGGTCCGATAAGAAAATCTTTCTTCTAGACATTTTTGTTTTGCTAATATTTGCAAAAGACAAAAAAATTCAAGGTTTTCACTTTGCTTATTCATATAATTAAACGGATAAGGAAAAAACAAAAGATACATAAAAAAAGAACCGGCATATATAGATGAATTATTTTTTCATCAGTAAATTTGATTTTCCATTGATCGTTGCTGTTAAATCAACAATTGGTGCTAATGATGAATTACCACCATAACTTTCACGTCTCATTTTAACAAGACCTTGTGTAGTTCCATTCTTTAATATATTCGATGATATATCTTTTTTACTTGATTCTTGAGATGTATCATTAGGTATTGATGTACGTTTAATACGTTCAGCAATCATAGGACTAATCATCGAATATATTGGTTTCGATGGTGGCATACGTTCATTAACTTGATCAAGAATTTTAACTTTTGAAAAACGTTCTTCAGTTGAATCATTACTATCTCGAAGAATATTTGCAGCAACTTCTGCTTCAGTTTTAACTTCCGTATTATTATTTAATTCAGTTAAATTTGTTGATGGAGTTAAACCACGTAATGTAATAATATGTTCACTTAATTCACGAAATGATTTATAAGCTTTCGCTACTTTACCTAATGCACGTATTTTTAAACGAAGTCGTTCTTTACGTAATTCACGTTCATTACGTTCAATTAATGTATCAATATGTTCATCATATTCAGCTAATTCCTCATCTGTACATATATTAAGAATACTTAAAAGTACATCGATTACTTTTTCACCAACAAATGGTAATGACCAAGAAAAAACATCGATAAAATTTGGTAACCAATATGGATGTGGTGAACTATTAAATTGTCGTATATTAAGAACATTATTTTCATATTTCATAATAGCTGCTTTATTTTGATAAATATCGAGATAATTGGGTGCTGAAAAAATTGTTATCAATGATGGAAAACCAGTTTCAGCCGTTTTTTTATACATTCGATAACCTACATCTTGTGCTTCATGTGCACGTATTACTGAAAGTATCTGATTATGTAATAAAAATTCATTAACAGCAGCATACGTATAAAAATACGAACAACCACGCGTTGTATTATGCAAAAATAACTGTTCATTAGATGATGATGATGATGATGGAAGATTTGTTTGGGATAAAATATTTGAAGGTGAATCATTTAATGGAATACTTGTACGACGTTTAGGTGGTGTTGTTGATGATGGAATATCTGCTTCATAACCATAATCTTCAACTGGATCAGACCATAGAAGATCACACATTGCACCGTATGCTGGAGGTTCATGAAATCGATCCAGCTGGAAAAAAAAGACTTTTACATTTATGTGAAAATATAATAAAATTACCTGTCGTATATCATCTAATGTACGAATTTCTGGTGATATTCCACCATGTACACATAAAAATTGTTTATTCATTAAAGCTGCTAATGGTAAACAATCAAACGCACTCATAATAGTTTCATAAACTTTTTCTGTATATTTAACAAGACATTCTTGTTTAAAACTAAAACGAAATCTTAGATTTCGAAAGATATAAAATGAATTTTCTTACGTAAAATAATCCGTTAAATGTCGACATTCATGATTTCCTCGGAGGAGAAAAAAATCCTTAGGATAATGTATTTTCAATGACCATAAATAAAGAACACTGAAAAAAATATCAACTAAATTCATTAACAAAAAATAAATATTAATACCATTCAATTCCAAAATAACCTCGATCAACATAATCACCAAGAAATAAATAACGAGTCGTAGCTGGTGAACCACCAACTTCAAACAATCTATGAATAATAATAATAAGAAAAAAACGACTCAATTGAAATAGTTCTATTTAAATTTACTTGATTAAATCATATAATTGTCCATGAATATCACCGCATATTGTCAATGGTGCACTAATTTCAATCATTGTTGATTCTTCACGTAAAATAGCAGCACCTTAATGAACAAATAAAGAATAATTTTATTATAATTATTCTTGACAAACATCTCTCGATTTCTTATTCAACATGATGATAGATAAATGTCATATTATAAGAAAAGGAAAATGAGTGATTTATGAAAGTGTTGAGTGTTTATCCATTATAAATAACTTAAAACTATTTCGTTTTGTTTTACTTATCAGCTGATTAATATAATTACAAAATATAATTGTGATAAAAAACAGATTTGATACAGAAATTATTTGTTTATATTCATAGAAATATTTTTCCCAATTTTTTTTTCTTGTACCGAAAACAATTAGTTGATAATAAATATTATATAATTTGACATAAAGAAAAGTTTACTTTACCACTTTCAATTATTCGAAGTGCCGCTTGTTCTGTTAGACGACCTTCAAGTAAAAGATGTTGTTTAAGTATATCTAAATTAGGTTTGTCATCTGGATCGGATGAATCAGAATAAATATCTTCAATGTCTAGTCTATATGCGGGGGCTTCAGGCGCCGTTGGACAATTTCTTTCTGTTGTACTGTAATTCGAAGTTGTTGGTGTTGTTGTTGTTGTTGTTGAATATGATGATGATGATGGTGGTGATGATGATACTGATAAAAACGCCGATGAGGCATCAGGAGTTTTATCACTACTTGTCATGGAAAAGATTTTATATTCATTATTTGTTCTGAAGATAAATAAGATTTAATAATAAAAAACAAAAAAACAGGAAATTAGATAATATGATAAATGATATTATTCTTAAAATAATATACATTCATGTTATTCTCAACATATGTATCGTCTTATTTTTGTTTCTTACCTAAATGATAATGTTTTTTTATATAAATAGTATAATGACAGAACTTTCAATAAATTACAAATGGGAATATATTTATATAAGTAGGTCTATTTTTTATATATATATCTTTTTCTATCTATCTCGCGATAGATAGATATAGATGTACACGTTGATAATGCGAAAAAGAAGCAGGAAGAGAAAAAGAACATAAAAATGATTACTGAGATTATCTTCACCGTCATTTGAGCTCTATACTTGAGAACTAAAAGAAGTGAATTGTCGTTTAATGGAAGAGAGAAACGAACTTAATACTATATATACACACACGTATATATATATATCTATATAAGTACCCATTTTGACTTATCTTGTTGTCTAAGTTAGGTTAGTTGACATAGTATGCGTAGAAAAATATCATGAAAAAGTAGTTATGCTGCTGATGATGATGTGACACATATTATTGTCATACAATGATGCCCAATTTTTTTTTGTTCGTCTGATATTTTTCTTTTATGACTTGCTTGTTGTTCCTTTCATTTATCATTGATAACAAAATCGATCAATAAATGTATACGAATATATAATTTCTTTTGAAATATTACAAAAATCTTGATAGTATAGAATATGACACACAGATACATATATATATATATATATTGGCACATAAATGATGGACATTTATGTGCGTGATGAAAGAACAACAACAACAGTAACAGCGATAAAAATAACAACTAACATCAGTCATTTTTCGACATAAGTATGCCAAGGAGAATATATATTGATAGAAAAAGGGACGAAACAAACTCGTTTCATCTTAGATCAAACTATGTTGAAGAATAACAATGTTACAACCTTCTTGAAATACGATCAAACAAACATTAAGTTTGAAGAAGGGTTTTCTTTTCTTATCATATATCTTGTCATTAGATATATTACATATATAAAATAATAATAATTTCAATAACAATTAGAAGTTCGCGATATCTTCTAAACATAAATAAGAATATTCTATTATATTGAATGACTAATCTTATTTGGTAACATAAATAATCTTTCAATTATTAAAATTGATTTTTGGCAGTAAGTAATACGAGATGAAAAATAATATTTATCCTTTCCGTTTATATAAGATATGACTTTTTTTCCCCTGATATTTCAGATTTAACAGCAGGATATTAAAACAAGTCAAAAAAATATTCGAGTACAATTTATATGAAATTACGTTATTAATTTTACATTTGATAAATATCGAAAAGTATTCATCGGAGACAAATAGGATAATAGAAAAGAAACCGTCAAAGGAAATGTTATTCATACGATTTGACCTTTGATCGACATGACAATGATAATCATAAAGTACTTTACTAGATAAATAATAATAATAAGTGTTAGTTTTCCAAAGATCAACTATACAACACGTTATATAAACGAAATCATAGGGTTTTAATGATTAATTCAGATGAAAAATTATTTACTATTTTGCTGACAATGATTTATTCTGGACCTATCAATGAATATTTAATATTGAATGGCTCATTAATTTGACTTAATCACATGAAGTCTAACAAATTCTTCAATTTTCTATATTATCTAGATTTGTTCTTGTCAATAAGGATCACTATTAATAGCTATGAGAACTATATTTATAAACATATATAATCAGATTTCTATTTTTGTCCATATGAAATAATTATTCAGATGAAAATCACGATTATTAAGATCTACGATTTCTTTTGCAATTAAATAAGCTGTTATTAATAAATATATAGATATCCTACGTAAATACATCAATTACAAACATAAAAATATAATAAACGTTTAACAATGAAACACAAAAAAAAGCAATATGACGCAGATGATTGATATCCGTCAGATAATCAATTATCTATATTCATTGAAAGCTGTTACCAGTTTGAATAGAATTTCACTGCCATAATATATAATAAATACATTTTTTCACTTATAAAAAGTGCATTTCGAAAAGACATCAAGTTTCCATCTGAAACTAAATAATTATAATTAATTAAATTAGATTATTTCTAATAATAGAAATCTTTGTAATAAATATCTATACAATCTTTTGTTTGTTCGTGAGTAGTATATCATATATAAACGTCAACGTCAATTTTTTCTACTTATCTAATGATGTTTATCTTACTCTATCATAATATACAATCACAGACTTTTCTATCTGTCATTTTCTTTGAACATCACATGGTTAAATGCAGAAGATAGATTAAGACCAAAGACTTAGTTTGTTTCGATATTACAAAAAAAAATATACGAAATATCGTATATATGATTTATGTTTCTATAACTATATTTGACAAATTCTCATCATCGTTATAATACAGTTAGTAAATGTATAGAATTAATGAGGATATAATCGAAATTTTGATAGTACGAGATACAATTACTTATGCTTGTGACAAAGTATCACTTTGTCCGATGACACAAAGAAATATCAGTTATCCTTCATACCATACTTAGTTTATAAAGTTGAAACAACAGTTTTTATTTCGATTGTGTCCCTTGTTTAATGCCCTCTATCTATTGACTATTAGCGACATTTATCGTCTCATAATGGCTGTTGCTGTGGGATAGAACATGACCGATGAATCCATCGATTCTTTTTTTTTTCTTTTGAAAAATTGAAATACTAATATATTCATTGCTGATTTATCTAAAAGAAAAATGGATAATTTTTTAATCTATGAAGAAATTCATAAACGTGATGCTTGTGTTGTTTATCGAGGTCGAATAAAACAATCCATTGATTTTGTAATGATCTATTGTGTTGAAAAACATAAACGACATGAACTAAGTAATCTCGTATGTAGAATTAAACTATTTCTTTCTTAGTTTCTTACTCTAATTTCTCTAGGTTCGATTAATGTATGAGCTTGATCATCCACATGTGATGAAATTTCGAGAATGGTACGAAACAACAAATCATCTTTGGCTTGTTATGGATTTATGTGATGGTATGAGATAAAATAATTAATATATTTTTCGAAAAATCTTTTTTTCTATAAACAGGTGGTTCACTCAAGTCAATTATACAAGCAGATGGAGCATTACCAGAAACATCGATACGTATTATTGGTGTTAATATATGTCAAGGCCTATATTATCTTCATCAACAAGATATTATTTTTTGTGATCTTAGTCCAGATAAAGTATACTTTTTTGTTTTCTATTAAAAATAAAAATTCGTTTGATTTAATAGATCGTTTCGGATGGTTCGAATATATTTAAATTAGGAAATATGACATTATCAAGAATGAAAGGAGAACATTTACAAACAATTTTTGATGAAACTTATGATAATTATCTTGATGATGTTTATCGTGGAAAAGAACGACCTAAAGCACAAGCTGGTAAATATTTAAATTTATTCAATATATGAATATTTTATTTTGTATTCATAGAGAATTTTTTTTATACTGCACCGGAAGTACTTCGTGGTGGTGAACATACTATTAGTTCAGATTTATGGTCAGTTGGATGTATTTTATATGAAATGATTGCTGGTAATTCATTTTTTTAAAGACAATATTTATTTTTATTATGATTTTTTAATCATAGGTCGACAATTATATGATGAAAAAAATACTAATAAATTAACACAAAAAATTCTTAATGATCGTTTGGTTTTACCAACAACAAAAGGTTCAACAAAATTATCAATTGAATTTACTAGTCTATTACAAGGTTTACTTGTTAAAGAATCATCGAAAAGGTATAATGAAAAAAACCTGAAAATGTTCAATGAATTCACCTATTTATAATTTAGATTGGATTGGCCTGCAGTATTGACTCATCCATTTTGGGCTGGTCAGTTAACTCATCTTGTTCGACCACAAACAGGTGTAACGAAGAAGAATGTGAATAAAAGTGACGCACTCGGTATTTCATTTATTTTTTCTTGAATTCAATCTTTTATAAATAATTTAATTTAGATCGTTCAGCAATATCATCTCGATTAGCACCAACTGATCGACCTGAATCGAATGTCTCATTTAGTTTAAGGTAAAATAAATTAATTATTCGAATAATTATTAATGAATAAACTTTGTATTTTAGTTGTACAAAAACATCTATTCAATTAACTCAACCGCATAAAACAGTTGAAGTCGATGGTAATAAAACATTAACAAACGATCGTTCATCCATAAATACACATGAACAATCGACAGCAATTGGTAGTGAAAGTATTGAACGTATTCGAAAAATGCTTTTTTCAAAAGCCGAATTACAACTAACATCAATTGTAGAAAATCAAAAAATTCAAAAAACATTACCATTTAAATTCGAAAATAAATTATTGCCATTTCAATTAGGAAAATGTAAGAATAACTCAGTAATCGTAAAATCGACCTTTCATATTAAATGTTGTCTATATATTAATATAGTGCTATTGTTATTCTTTTGGGCGACAGCTGAGTTGAATTTCTCTCGTAAAATTGAATAATAGATTTTATTGAGACTATTTCTATGCAGAAACTAGCACTATTGATTAAATCAAGGCAACAATTTTATCATAGTGTTATTTACAGTCATCTAGTACATGAAAAAAAAGAACATTTCTGTTAAATACTTTTATCTCACGTTTTTTAATTTCTTTACATATGTGCTAGTAATTAATTATGAAAATAATTATTTTCCTAACAAGGGACATTCTTGAAATTGTTTTTCTACTAAGACATGTAATGTACATATGTAGAATAGTTCTAAAAATAAAACTCAACCACAAAACACATTCCTATGACGAACAAGTTAACCTGATGTGACGTTAATCTTTCGTATTAATTTCTATTTATTTTATATCGTCCTACACATTGAACTATGACATAAGAAAAATAATTTGTCTTTCTGTGTGTATATTTAGATGAGAATTTGAGTCGACTTTCATCTGTTGATCTGCAAGAACACGCTAATATGATTAAAAAAGAACTGTCGATTACATCAGCAGGATCTCCTACAAATGCAAATGGAATGCGTGTTAAATTAAATTTACTAAATTACATTGGATCCACTTGTCTTGAACAAACAAATTCTGGTGCATTTGCTGATGTTCTTATTATTAAAGATGTTCATAAAGATCTATTAAATTTAATTACAAATGGCGGTTCAATGGAATTGTAAGCCATTAGTTTCAATTAGAAATTTTTTTATTTGAACAGAGAAAAAGAAAAATTTGCCTAATGAAACAAGTTTATACACATAAGTAAACGAGATTGAAATTTAGTCTTTTTTGTGTCTATTAAATATTTGTTCGACAACTCCCTTCTGATCATCATCATCATCGAGATAATCACCATCATCTTCTTCTACACTACTACTACTGCTGCTACCACCACTAAATTGATTTCCATCACCATCATTATCATTTTTTTCCATTGCCATAGCGTCACCATCATCATCATCATCACGATTACCTTCATTTTCTTTCTCTTCTTCAAGTATCTCGGCACTTTTAGGTTCGGGTGATACGATTATTTTCGGAGATAATGGTTTTACATTTTCTAAACGAACATAAGAGCCAAGTAATTGTCGATGAGTTTTCTCTTGATATAATTGTGGTATTGTTGTAAACATTGGTGTAGCCGCATAGATTGGATCGGTTTTATTACGTGTCATATTACAAAGAAATTGATAACGCTCAAATGTTGGATTCATTGATGCACGTCTTGGATGAGATTTACGTGGAGGCGGTATTGGTGGTGGTGGCGATAAATCAAAATTTGTTGAAGGAATAGCTAATAATTTATCCAGATCATAAAGTTCTAAACGTTCCATTGATTGACGACGTATTAAACGAGCCATTTATTCTAAATAATAAAAAAAATTCATTTATTAATTTTTCTTTTTTTTTAATATATTTAGAAAAATGAAAGCAACTCGTGTACTTGGAATTATATTCAATAAAGCAACTGAAAATATTCCACTTTCTTCTTCACTTACTGATGTATGTATATTTGATGAAATATAGAGAAAATTTTATTAAAGAATATTATTATTACGAATGCGCAGTCTTGCATCCACATATATATATATCTATATCTATGTGTGTGTGTATATATATATATCATACTATCATCGTCGTCATCATTTTTCTCTTTCGATCTGCATCTCACGTCTGAATGCATGATTTGTCACGTGGAGTAAGACGATAAGTAAAGAACGAGTACTTTAAAGAGCAAAAAAAAGGAAGAGAAGAAGAAGAAGAAGAAGCAATAGGAAAATGTCTATATGTCCTTGTGAAAATCAGCGAAGGCGGAAGGACAGAGAAAAGAGAATATGCAAATACAATCTTATATCATTTATGTTACCGTCAATGAATTCTTTCATTTAATCTAATTAAGAGGAATAAGCTTGTTAATTTTCTTTTTAATTTGCCCTTTTCTGTTTTTTTCTAGACACTTATCTCGCTTACTGAAGCACTTCGAGCAAATAGCAAAGAAACAAAATTTAGATTATATTTGATACAAGCTATTGGAGAAATTATGATATTTATTGCCGGACGAGTATATTATCTTTTTTTTTTGGTGTTTATTAATATTAATTGAATGTATTTTTATAGACATCTGATAATTCTCTTGTACCTGGTTTTACTTATCAAATAATTAGTCGATGTCTTAAAGATGGTGTAAGTTAAATAAATAACATTAGTTTATTGTCATAAAGTATTTTCTTTTCTATATTAGGATGACTTTGCACTTAATCATGCTGCATGTAAAACAATTGAAAATCTTTTACTTGTCGCTGATAAACAAGCTGATAAATTGGCTACACTTGATAATGCTCTTGCACTTTGGAACATCTCTAGCGTCGTTGGGAATAATGAACATCTACGTGCTTCGGCATTAGCTGTAGACAGAATTCTTTTTTTTTTGCTTTTCTATTTATAGAAGTTACTATTACTTATTTAGGCATTATGTCATATGGGTTTATCCTATCCAGATGTTGTACAATCCGTTATTGATAAAGTGACTATCAAAGGCGATATACTTCAATCAACATCCTCCAAAGTTCTACAATATATTATAACACTATTAGCTATTTTAGCTAAACGAACAAAGAATCGTTCAATGCTTATACAAGTAATAAATTCAAAGAAACGATACCTGATAAAATTCTGTAGTTTTCTTTCTTTTTTATCAAACATGCAACGCATGTTAATACATGGTATTTTTTTATCAACACTATCACTGAGATAACAGCAAATGAAATGAAAGAGAATAATGAAAAATGAGATGCACAAAATATATCGAATAATAATTTATAATCTAAATTTGGCATCAATCAATTGATTAGTAAATTGATATATTTTTCATTGAATTACTACTTTCCCAATCTTTATCCGGAGATTTCTAACTGTCAATAAAAACATGTTGTTTTGATACTTTGGTATTACAGATTAGATAAACAACAATGATGTTTTCCTAATTTCTCCTACTCATAATCCTATAAAAATAAAAAATGTTCGATTTATTATAGGATATAGTACCAAAAATGCATGTACTTTATGAAAATACAAATATTCTAATTCGTGCGAAAGCATATACGTTAACATATGTCCTATTATCCACGTATAATGAAAGTCTTTATACATTAAGTGATACAAAGTATGTATATTAAGAGATTATTTTCGTATGATAAATTTGATTTGATTTTATTAGACTTTTCCAAGCAATTGAACGTGATGTTCGTCGTACATCAGCTGATCCAGATGAAAATGATCTATTACATGAAGCACTTAATCGTTTAACAACACTTTTATCAAGTCTTCTAACACGAACATTAGGTATATTTGAGAATTTAAAATAGAAATTATTTTTATTCAAAAAAAATAATTTACTAGATGAACTTTTATCATCGACTGAACAAACAAGAAAAACATCACCAGTTAAAGATGCATTTAAAAAATGGTTACCATCATTTCGATTAATTTCAACTATTATCGGAAATCCCGTATGTTTTTAAACCTAAACATATTTACTTTATTTTATTAATATTTTTAGTGTATTCGTTCTCGAGTTGTTACATTGATGTCTATCAAAAAATTATTTAAACTTTTTTCCAATATTAAACTCATTGCGGAATTACATAGCGAATTAACAAAAGGTAAGTTCAGACAATGGTCTTAAGTTTGTCAAGGGCGTAACACCTCCCTCAACACTTCGATACGCCCCTGATGCTTGTGCCATAATAAATTGATTAGTACCTAAATTTACATAAGAGAGATAGTAATACTAATTGAAATAATCGTATCATTTATGCGCGCATGTAGATTTATTAAAAACAAACTTTAACCTTGAAAAAATGTTTTATTTGATCTCAGAACATTGAATTATCTCGAGCATTGTTACGCTATTATAAGCGATACATTTCACGGATGTTATTCGAGGAAATGAACATCAACAAAAATAATGATTTTATTAAATCTGTATTCTATTCTAGGTGTATCATCTTTAACCGAAATTATATCTTATACATCTCAAACATTAGATGCATTTGTTCGTGCACGTGATCTTTTAGCATTATTTAGTGAAATACTACTTAGTGATTTACTTCCACTCTGTTCTCAATTACTTGTATCATCAACCAATGTTGAAGAATTTTCACTTCTTGCACTTTGTATACTCAATGAATTATTAACGGAATTAAAATTAACTGATTGTGTTTTACCTTCACATATTCAACGTGATATAAAACAGGAATTACATCAAACATTTTTACCAATTATTTGTGATCGACATATACTTCGAGAAGAACCTATTGCATTACTTAGTTTACGTTTTATTCAAACAATATGGACATTAATCGATCATACACCTATTTCATTATCGATTCTTTCACAATCAAAACTTATACCAAGTTTATTTACACTTATCATGCAACATAAAGATAAACCAACAGGTCCATTTATACAAGGTGTTGTATCTTGCTTGACAACATTATCTGAACAACGAGAAATGATTCAAACAATGATTGAACAAGGTTTAGTATCGGTTCAATTACAATTAATTCAAGATCAATTAAATTTTTCAATAACTGATCGAATATCGATGAATGTTTTACTTGAATTATTATCGTTACTTGATCGAGATCTTACTTATGTACTCGATATTGTAAAACGAGCATTACAAGTAGGATTAATAAAAAAAATTTTAATCAGAAAAAGTTTTTTTTTCAATAAATAGGTGAAAAAAACTGGCATAGGTGAATCTGATTTACCATCAATAGCAGAAAAATTATTACAAAATCATAAACCACTTGTATCACTTGTTGGTCCAATGATTAATTTAGTATGTTTATTTTATTTCGAAAAAACTATATTACATTCATTTTTATTCAGTTACCAAATGAAGATTCATCCATTGCTAAAATAGCTTTACATAATCTATCGTTATTAACTCAATTGATTGGTAGTGAAGGAAAAGCAGTTCTAACGAAAAATCATTGTCATATATTAAGGTAAGAAAATTTGATTAAAATACAACAACAACAACATATTTTTAATTAGTTCAATACTTCGAACGACGGATACAACGAAACAAAAATTACTTCTTCGTGCTTTGAAACGTTTGATCAATGGGGATAAACGAAGTTTAGATGTAGCTCGTTCAAATAATAATAATGAACTTATTCAAACATTACAACAATTAAAAAAGTCAGCAGCGTAAGTTTACTTTTATACTTATTTGTTTCTTGTATTATTATTGTTTCATTCTGATTTTTAGGACAGAAGCTGATGCTGGTCTTATTTCACATGTTGATGATTTATTACATTTACTCATGTAAAAACTAGTCTTCTTTTTTCTTTGTACATAAGGAAACTTCGTGTTTGCATAGCAAAAATTTCATTTGCGTAAATCAATGTTACCTTCACATAAAATGTTTGATTTGTAAACGGGAACTCATTTTAAATAAATATTCAATATGTATTTATGTTAGTAAAACATTCAATCATGCTTTCCGAATCAGTTTTACTGATTTGATGAAATAAATAATAATCAATGATCTGACAATTTAACAAATATGAGAAATTTCCTAGTTGAATTGTTCAATCATAGAAAATATACATTTAACCCTTTCCGACCGGGTGTTGCTAAATGGCAACAATTTTGCCGTAGGGGGGTACGGTAGTGAAAAAATTGATCCCTATAACTAAACAACAAAGAATATATCGAAAGATAACTTTTTGCATGTTGCCTTCTGGTAGCCGGCCGTAAAGGGTCAAAATGAAACTTATATACATAATATTTTCCGAAGTTTGTGTTTTACTTGAAAGCATAAGAAGGGTAAATGTTAACATGTAACATTATATTTTTTATCTGATTTAAGCAAATAAAAAGTTTCTTATATATTATCACATATCAAACATATTCAGAAATGAAAATCTATTTTTCTAAATTAAATTCTTGGTGAACGCTAAGTTCATGATAGTAAATATATGTCTTTACTAACATTCCAATAGAAAGAAAAAGAAACGAGAGAATAAATTCATGGACATATCTTTTAGTTTTTTCTGTTTCTCGACAACTGATCGTATTCTTGGAACGCTAAATCAATGAAAAGATTTTTTCAATCTATTATTAAATTAAAAGGTAAAAAGATAGACAAGAGAAAAATCTTTGACATATATATATCAGTTTATAGCTTGTCGATTATCTCTTGTTTATTATCGTTTGGTTTCGATAGTTATTGTGGCTTTATTATTATCTCTTTTTTACACTTCTCATCAATGTCAGTGTATATCTTCTAATATATCATCTATTAATAAAACGAGAAATTCATCTAATGAAACAGGTATACAATCGCAATTAACCAGAATGATTGTTGTATCTCATTATAATGAAGATTTAAATTGGCTTGATTTATTTATTGGTGATAAAATTCCGCATATTGTTTATACAAGATCATCTGATCCACTGATAAGTCATGGTCTATCAGTAAATAAAGGCCGAGAAGCTGTAGTTTATCTTCGTTATATTGTTGATTTTTATTCGAATTTACCATCAGCGATAGCTTTTATTCATGCACATCGAACTTCCGTGCTTCAAAAAGATCCAGACGATATTGTTGTTGCATTACGAGCTTTAAAATGGAATAGATATAGTTATATGCCCTTGACTGGTGCAATGACTCAATCTCGTTTTCAACATAGAGCTCCAGAATTACAAGCAGCAGTTAATTATGAATTATGGCGAGATGTTCTACAAAAAGAACTTGGTCCACCACCATTAACTGGAATTCAAACACATTGTTGCGCATCATTTGCGGTTACAAAAGAGGCTATTCTTAAACATCCGAAAGTATTTTATTCAAACATAATGAATTATATTTATGCCAGTGAATATTCTGATCAATTAACAGGTAGAACACTTGAATATACTTGGCATATGATCTTTGGTCAACCAGCAATATTCAAATTAAAAACATGTGATTTATTTTTTTGCGATGCAAATGGAAAAATTTCTGTTGAATTAGCGGAAAAATATGCAGAGTTTTTATCTATTAATAAAATTACTGATAGACATTTGTTTTGATTATTTGATTAATAAATTAACAAGCATTTATTTATTACGAAGAAAATTACAATTTTTTAAAGCAAAAATAGAACATCTTATTCTGTACTAGTGCGTTCGCTTTAAGAGCAAGTTTTTGCTGGAGCGAACGTTTTCAATATTGAATGATATATAAATCGTTTTAATTGTAGTTAATTTCAATTGATTGTTTTGAATTTATGTTTTCTAAAATTGACTAAATAAAACTTGTAAGATTGAAATTACTATTTTTCCAATTTGGTATATCGTTCAAACTACTAAATCCATCTATCGAAGGTTATCATCAATTTTGATAAAGAGAAGAGTATCCAATAGAAATTTTTGTCAAAAAGATTGTTGATTGAGTGAATGAGTTCGGCAAGCACATAGTCATTTACTCACTATCGTTAAAGAATAGAAATTACAACTGTGATATGCCTCACGCTAAATTATCTGCTGAAAATCATAATTTAGACTTATATTATGAACTTCATGGAAGTGGAAAAACTAAAATTATATTTATTATGGGTTTGATGACTGATGGAGGCGCTTGGTATAGTCAAGTAAGTTAAATTAATTAGTCAATTTTATATATTAATGAACATAAATTTATATTTAGACTAGTTTTTTTCGTGATCAACCAGAATATCAGGTATATTATATGAGAAAACTTTTAAAATAAAAATATATATTTATTTGTTTAGTGTGTCAGTTATGATAATCGTGGTTGTGGACGTTCATCAGCACCATTAACTTTTAAATATACAACAACACAAATGGCTAAAGATGCTCTTGCACTTATTGATCATTTAAAATGGACACAATGTCATGTTGTTGGTGTATCAATGGGTGGTATGATCGCACTTGAATTTGCATTATTAGCACCAGAAAGAATTCTTTCATTGACTTTATTGGCTACACATGCAGGTGGTATTGCTGGTCGTGCACCATTTATTGGTATTCGTCATATTCTTCGATCACTTGTAATACGTGAAGATCATTTACAAGTACAAAATTCTCTTGAAATGCTTTATGGTCCAAAAATACTTGGTGATCCAGAAAAACTAAAAGTTAGAAAAAGAAATTCTTTCAAATTTTTCTAAAAAGCTTTTCGTTTTCATACTAGTTGTTTCGTAATTTTCATACAGAAAGACATAAAAATCGTATTAAACCACCACTGATAGGTGTAATAGGACATCTATTTGCTGTTCTACGTCATTATGTTAGTTATGCTGAATTACTTAAAATTCGTTATTCACCATTTGATTGTTTAATTATGGTTGGTACAGAAGATCGACTTGTACGAGAAAAAAATTCATATATTATTCGACAGGTTTGTATCGCGTTGAAAAAAAAACTTATTTCTGTTTTTTTCAATAATATATAGACACTCGGTTGCCGGCTTATGAAACTTGATCGTGCTGGACATGGTTTACCAGGTGAATGTGCAAAAGAAGTTAACGAAGAATTATTGAGTAAAAAATTATGATTTATGATAAAATTTATTTTTATAATTCAAATAGATTGGTATGAATCAATTCGAACAAATAATCCATCAAAATCTAAACGTGAAATACCAGAAGAATATAAAACTGAAATAAAAGCACTTGAACAGTGTTGTCAACATCGTACACATTGTCTTATATACGATATAACTGGATTTATAAAGGTAAAAGAGAGAAATATTTCAGCTGATATAAACTTAATTTGATAGATCGTTTCCTTCAGCAAAGGGATACTACACTACATTTGATGACTCTGTACTCATTTTATCTACTTGCATTTTGATAAGGTCATGAAGCTACATGAAGTCTATTTAATGCAACTGTTTCCTAGTATATCAACAGTCTTTATGTTGATCATACTTCAATTACAGACCTTTATATTTAATCATAAAAAAAAGAAGCAGATTAGCTAACACAAAATAGGATGTAATTTCATTATACTTTTAACATCTATGTAAATTTACATGATGAGTTCAAGGCTAGAAGGAAATATACACTTATCTATAAAGCATGTTACACTATCCCTAATCAAATAAACACTAACTTTGTAGTACAAAAAAAATACTGTTCTTTTTCTTTCTTTATTTAGGGTTTTTTTCTCGGTCTGGTACTGTACATTTTGTTGACTGTTATTGGTTTGACTAAAGGTCAACTAGGTGGAATACATTTAACATTCGAAAGTGTTCTATTACTTGGATGTTTAAAGTATGATTCATATTGATATCTTGTTTATTTTTATTCTATATGTATATATTACTTTCAGTGCATTTCGTCGCTCAATTAGTTGCATATATAATGCATTTAATGCACGACGATATATTCGAGAACATCGATTATTACTAGATCAAGCAGCGCATCATGGAGGTATTGGTGTTGCTTTACCCGAAGAACCAAAAAATGGTGTACCATATGGTTGTGGTTTTGAATTTCCTATTCATTCGATTTTATTTATTATTAGTCTAATTGTTTTGATATATTCGACACAAGCTTATGAGCAAAAAATCATATAATTATTTTTTTTAAGTAATAATTTAACAAATAAAAATAGCTTCTTTTATGTGATAATAAAAAATAGAGAGTGAATGTTTGTAAAATCTGTTTTTTTCTTCTAAAGGCAAATATTGAACAATTTAAATGACAGAATTCTTCAATTTAGACTCTCTTTTTCGTATGAGAATTGTCAGGATTATGTGAGAAGTGTTATTTTTAATGTGCATATATTTTAATTCGAAAGTTAATAAAAAAAATGTTATAGATTCTTTTTAAGAAATTGAATAGCATCTTGAACAGCTTTATCTCTTTGTTGAGAAACATCTGCGGATCCATGTGGTCGAACAAGAAAACCATGTTGTGTTCCAGGATATTCAATAAATGTTCCAAGACCGTTTGAACTTAATTCTTTTTCAAATGTTTGTCGAAGATCAGAAGTAAAGCTTTGATCAGTTTCAGCACATAAGAATAGAATAGGTCGTTTTATTTGTGTAGCTTCTTCTTTAACTAAAAATGATGGATGTGCTGCAACACCTGCTTTTATTATTGAACTAAATTGGGGATGTGCTAGTAAATGAATAACAATTTTAGCTCCATAACAAGTTCCAATAACCTAGAAAAAAGAATAAACGATTATTTGCGAAACAATAAACTAAATAAATCTACTTGAATTGATTGATATTGTTCTTTAATCGTTGTAATAAACTTTTCCCCTGTAGTACATGCATCTGTTACTGGATGTTTTTCTAACCATGGAGTTAATATACTCATCATTTTTTCTCGTAAATTAGGTGTATTTGGATCAATACAATCTTCATTAAAAAGATCAGGAATAAGAACTGTTGCTTGAACACCTTCAGCAAAACTATCAGCTACTTTTTGAATATTTATAAAAGAATATCCAAATACATCTGTAAATATCACAATGGCTGATTTTCCTTGACCTGTTTTGTAAGTATTGATTCCTCCTATTTGTTCTACATGACCACGAGCTTGATGCGTTTGTTTTGCACCAGGATCAAGACAACATGGACCACTCATTTTCCTAATAAAATTTTTTTAAATAATAAAACCACACAAAAAGAAACAAGTATTTATACTTTATCAAATGTGTACGAGAAAGCACTTTTTGCACGAAAGCACGAGAGAACGGAGCAATAATTGCAAACATTATTTCTATTTTTAACTTTTACGTTAACTTCTTCTTTAAGTCTTTATTCGTAACCAGTCATTTTTCAAAGTATCTAGATGACGCTGTCAACGTGAACAATATATTTTTTATATAGATTACAAGAATATGTTCTATTTGTTATACAGAATGAAATCAATTTGATAATGAACTTTTCAAACGCAATGATTATTTTATTGAGTATGAGAATCTTATTGAACTTTGTTCAACTTCATTACCACGAAAAATATTTGTTCGTTTAGTCAGGTAGTTTCCTACCATTGGATAAAGTATGAACTGAGAAGTCTATAACTAATTGTTAAAAGTCTTTCGACAATGTATTTCTATTAGAAAAGGCTATTATGTTTTGTTCTACTCGGTTTGACTACGTCCCTGTTATTGGTAAAATTATCAATTCGTTTCATTGAATTGTAATAGAAACACGTAAATCTTTTCTTTGGTTCATCGACTGTTCTACCATCCGATACGCCGAGTATTAGTAAACCAGATCATACAAAAAATATACTTCACGTAGAGTTTTATCCTACGAAATGAATCAATGTATCTTAATTAAATTTTCTCGTTTTTTTGAAGATAAATGTCAGTGACTGCAAAGTATACTACCTATCTTTTTCAATGAATACTCGATTTCAAATCAATTTATACTTCCTAGACTTAAATTCAACTATGTTTGTCTATAATGTAATAAAATGATTCAAATAGTTTATTCAATCAGTTTTCTCACAATCAAAACAGTTGTGTTTATTTTATGATTGTTCTCTATTAGATAGCTGATACATTTCAAGAAAACTTAGGCTAAAAATGAGTTAACAACTGCTAATAAATCTTGTGCAAGATTTCGGAAACCGGGTAAAAGTGGTGAGTCTGAGCCAAGAAGTGTTTCAAGTTCTCCCAACAATTGATCAACAGCTGTGTTAGCACTCATTTTACTGTTGACAACATCTTCACCGTATTGCATAGCTTGTGCTGTAAGTATATCTAATTTGTCATCTGCAACAGCACTACCAACTTCATAGGCAGCAGCGCATAGTCGATCGATTAAATCCTAATTAAACAAATAAATAAATTAGTTTTCATGGAAAAAAAAGATATTGTAATTCGATATTACTTTATATTGTGGAAATGCAGCCATAATTCCTTCTAAGCCACCGAATTGAGTGATCATTGCAGCTAAATCAATACCCGAACGACTGGCTACACGTCTTGATTGGAAGTTAGAAAGAAATGGTTTGATGACTCCCTTGAATTCTTCTGCAAGAGATTGTAAACTGCTGATAATTGCTGGGTGTGAGGCAAGAAGTGTTTCAAGTTGTTCCATTATTTGAGCAACAGCGGTATCGACATCCATATTATTACTGAGAACAGCTTGAGCATGTTGCATAGCCGATTGTTGAAGTAAATATAATTTATCATCTGGAATATTAGAACCAACTTGATAGGCAACATCAACGAGTTTCTTTATGATATTCTAATAAAATAAATAAAAAACATAGTTTAGTTGGAAAATAAAAAATATTGAAATTCGATATTACTTTATATTGTGGAAAAATAAGATAAACTATGTCCAAGCTACCGAATTGACTGATCAATGCGGAGAGATCAATACCAGCACGACCGGCTACAAGGTTTGATTGGAAGTTAGAAAGAAATGGTTTGATGACTCCCTTGAATTCTTCTGCAAGAGATTGTAAACTGCTGACAATTGATGGGTGTGAGGCAAGAAGTGTTTCAAGTTGTTGCATTATTCCAGCAACAGCGGTATCAACATTCATATTACCATTGAGAACAGCTTGAGCATGTTGCATAGCCGATTGTTGAAGTAAATATAATTTATCATCTGGAATATTGGATCCAACTTGATAGGCAACATCAACGAGTTTCTTTATGATATTCTAATA